AAATCCCATTTCCCATTCACTCTAATTTTAAGACTATTTCATCTTAAACAAAAACTCAACATTGTATTCCAAGTCTAATTAGAGATAAGGAAATGCGAATCCCTAAAAGAGGATACGAAGGATAAGAAAAGGCTAGAAATGTCTAATGCTGATGGAAGATGATTGCAGCTAGAACTGATTAGCAATGGTGGATGATTAACAAAGTACAATTGTGAAAGAAGCTTGCAGTGAGGAAGGACACGACTATTATCAGATCAATAAAAATTAAAATTAGCAATGTAAAATTACTACTTTGTCCTTGGTCGACCATCAAGGCTTTTCTATATAGTAGAAATATAGAGATAAATACATATAGATTTTTGGACTTTTGTGAAAAAGACTGTAAAAAGAAAATTGTGTTTCAGCTTTCAGGCAAAGAAGAAGAATAAAAGAAAGGAAAAGGGCAATCTTCTCTTTCTGTGGAAAATCTAACGAAAATGCAAGTACCAGTTTGGAGTCCTCGGCTAGTCAATCTGTTCAATCGTTCATGCCTAATTACAAACAGTTTGCGGGCATTTTCTTCATCAGCTTATTCTAACCAGTCTCGCGGTGGCCTTCCTCGCTTCTACTCTGATAAGCTCCCTCCTTCCAAGGCATTGTCCATTTTCTGCACACTCTACTCTCTCATAGCTGAACTTGTCGAGGTTCCCTTTTCTCAAATATGGGGTTCTTGATTGTATTGGAAAAAGAACAGGGTAGAGTGTGTACAACCAACTGATTATGTTAAAAAGATTCGGACTTTGTTGCATTTCATCTGACTGTTAGCAACCGATAAACTGAAACTTATTTTTTTTTATTACACTATTTAGAAGTTTCATGATGTTATAACTATCTATAATCTGCAAGCCTTTTCCATTATCTTACTTAAGGAAGCTCATATAGGTATTTTCACATAAGTGGAATCAAATGAGGAAATGGATAATGAGGAGTATTATATCCGACCCCAACTAGTTTGGAATTGAGCAGTTGTTGTTGTGTTATTTTCTTGTTCTATTTTTACTCTTAGAGCTATGTTCTTACTTTATTCAGATTAACTGATTTTAGCGCCTCAACTGTGGTGTTTTTAACGTTTTTTATGCAGGATGGTGTTGTTCGTGTTAAAGGTGATGAATTCTGGCACATGACTAGGGTTTTAAGGTTGTCAGTTGATGATAGGTACTGCCTTGTAGCATATCTTTGATGGTTACCAGTGATACACAACACTCAATAATATGCATAAAACAAATGTTCCTTTTCCACCAGTAGTTTCTTTCTCCTTTGTGCATGGTTTAAGTATAACGTTGGTTAGAAACTATGAGATGGCTTGTTCAAAAGTGTTATCTGCATTGCTGTGTTTATTTTGAATAAGGAATGTGGACGGTTCCTTTACAACTACCAGCGTCCTAATTTTTAGAAGCCTTTTGTACTCTCCCTCCCCTAATTTTGGATCTAAATGTCCAATTTTTGTTTTCGTATTTAGATTTCAAATCTGTCAATTCTATGAAGGATATGATTTTCAACAAATGATTGTTGATTCCTTCTTAACATAAGTCAGAAAGGTTGTCCTTGAGAAAAGAAATATGGTAGTACTTGGGGAAATATTTGTTTGTGTGTGTACATCTACATATATACAGATATAAAAGGATCTGAATAGTAACATGTAGTCCTATCAAATTTTTGCTGCACTCCATTGAAAATTTGACATGTCTACAATCTCTATCTTTTGGTGTAGAATGAAAAATGTAAATCAATTTTACACTTCTTTTTGGAGTTTACGGACTCCATGTATCATTGATAGGAGCCTAAATCCTCTATCTTGTACAGACTCAAACACTTTCTTAATGAGGTTTTTGTTAATTAATTACTTAATTGTCAAATGAAATTGCTGCTAAGTATCAGACCAATGGGAATCAATTTCTTAAAATATGTTAATCAGAAACACTGGAATCTTAGAACTTATAATACTCCTTTTATGAGGATGTCCATATATTGTATCCTTAGCTGAGGTTTAAATTCGGTAGAAAGCTAGCACCCGTATTGGAGTTTTTAGTCCTTGAACAACGGTACTGAGTTAATTTCACCTATTCATGATGTTCAATTTGCAAGGGTAGAACTATTTGATGGAAAAGGAGGATTAGTTGAAGGTTGTATACAGAGCGTTGATCAGACAGGATTGGACATTGTAGCTCTCGAGAATCCAAAGTCAATATCTCCTCATAGCACACAGTGGCATGTCTATGCTGCATTTGGTGAGTTTTTATGAGCATTGTTAGCGGTGTTATGTATTGTTCATTTCCCTGTCTTGCGTTATGTGTGTCAAGTTCCTGCAATGTAGGTACTCTGAAGGGAGGCCGAGCTGATTGGCTTGTGGAGAAATGTACAGTATGTTTGGGCATGTGGGTATTGTATCTCTCCTGAAGCTTCAGTAACTTGTTTGTTCACTCTCTCGTCTGATGGTCTCAGGAGTTAGGAGCCTGCAGTGTGACCCCCTTACTGACGGAACGGTCTCCTTCTATATCAGAAAATCGGGTGGACAGATTACAACGTGTCAGTTTTGCTGCAGCTAAACAATGTAAGCTTTTCAAGCATGATGTAAAACGTATTTGCATCCTAATTTTCTTTATTGGTTCGTAGACTATGTTTTACACATTAACTTCTTCTTTTAGGCCAACGGCTGCATGAAATGGTTCTAAATCCTCCTACAAAAATTAATGCGCTTTTACCTCTTGTAAGTTGATTATTCCAATTTCTTCCCACAAAGTAAAATCTTTTAAGCTTCGTGTAAAGCACATAGGAGGCATTCTAAGACTTTTTCTCATCTTTGTCTCTGCAACACTTCATTGTTCTTGGTTTTGTGGTGCCACCAATGCTCTAGGTCAAAAATTCAAAGCTTGCATTTATTGCCGCGGCAGAAGCTAAACCATTATTTAGTGCTTTAAGTTCCATTAAGAAAGAATCAGCTGGACTGATGATAATTGGACCAGAAGGAGGTTAGTATCTTTCTGCAGCTCTCCCTTCTCTTCCTATCTATTCCCAAGGTTTTGTGCCTTAACACTGATGTATTTTGGTTGGTCATATGTCAAGATTTTATCATCTGAAGAGTTCAATTATCCAGGATCTATAATGAAAAGTGTTAGGAGTTCTAAATAATGAAATTAATTCATACATACCAAAACATTCTTAAAGAGTAAAAGTAGTCATCTTCCAGTAATTCACAAACTAAAGTAGGCTCTGTTTTAATGCGAAGCTCTAGTTTTGGACAATTTATGTGTCAAAGCTCATTGGCCTTTAACTTCTAAAAGTGGCTATTTTAGTGCGTTGCTGATTTATTTTGGCGTGGGATTATACTGGGTGGTTGTTGTTGTTGCTGCTGTTTTTTTTTTTGGAACAAGCAGAAGGCTCGTAGTGTTGTTTCTATATAAATTCTTAAAATAGGGAACCGAAAAAAGTAGTAAAAAGAGAAGATAAAGAAAAAGAATAATTGAAAAGAAAATGGGCACTATCCTCCACAGAGGCCTCAATCGCAAACTACTTTCTGACAGATTGCAAATGCTATTCCATCACTCCTAGCCTGTAATCCCTTTTGCTACACCAGGCCATTCAACCCTCCTCGCTTTGCAATCTCCTACCCTTCTCCATTAACAACTTTTTCTAGGCTAGAACAACACTCTTGCACACTCTAAAACCCTACACCGCTCTGACTCTAACCACAAACTCGACTTATCTTTCTCTCACACGAAGTACCATGTACATTTCGGATTTTGTCTAAGTACAATATGGCTTCAACTTTTGTCGCTCTTACACCTATCGCCTACGGGTGCATCAAACACAAGCCAGATCGTGCAAGCTAAAGTGGGTTTAAACCCTCTTATTTTTCCTCATTATCCAAAAGCAAGTGTCCTTCAAGAGTGGTGAACTACATGTATGGGAAAAAAAGGATGCAGAGTCAAAATAAAATAAAAGATTTGAGGATACTAGACAATCTTGCGTGCGACATTCAGATATACAGTTAAATTTATAATTTCATTCAGATATACAGATATCAGATATCCTTCGCATGTGATTATTGTGAAATGCTTGATGCTCCATTACAGACTTCACAGAAAAGGAGTTAAACATGATTCTGGAGGCTGGGACAACTGCTGTTGGGCTTGGACCACATCGTCTACGAGTTGAAACTGCTACAGTAGCTCTGTTGTCGGCTTTAATGTTGTGGGGTGACGACCAGGATATGTTAAAGGTCTAGCAACACTAGCAGGCGAGTGATGTTTCTGCTGCTTTGGAACCTTTGTAGTGATTCTGTCAAATTCAGTTAGATGGCCTTGTTTGGAAGGGCAACATGCTAACTATACTGATTTTTTCTCAACTCTGCTACAGGAAAAAAGACTAAAATGTGTTACAGGATTTCTGTTTTAGTGCTTTAGTTACTGAGATTACGTTTCCAGACCCCCACTTTTGATAAACCATTGATCACTAGCTAAAGAGGCTGAATTGTGATAACAGAGATCCATGCTCTCACCGATTTATACACTTTTAGATGACAAATACATAATTAGTTCTGTTTTAGGTTCTGATCACATGCTGAGGGCTCCCAAGAAAGCTGCAATTATCAAAGAAACTCAGAAGTGAAGGAGAAAGAAGAAAGGATAACGATCAATCATTTGCTTATTTGTGTTTGGCCTCACCCTCACCCTCACCCCATTTTGGGAAGCCCAGTGTGTGATCCTTGATACAACATTTCTGAGCTCGTCGAGCTTTACTTGTGGTGGTACTGAATCCCATAAATGATTTTGTTAACTTTTGGCCGGCTGTTAAAGTTTAGAATTTCTACCTCAGTGGTAAGTGATGGCGTTCAAGTCCTTTTTTAAGTTTGCGTTTGTGCTTACTTTTCTGCAAGTCTGTGTAAACTTTTCTTCGATACTGGACAAAGTATATCTCCTGGTCTTTTAGCCTTGAAATCCAGTTATTATCCTTTTCCTTTTTTGTTTTATACACATTTTTTGTATCTCATGTCAATGTATATTTGTTACAACTCCGACTCTTTTTCTGTTTGACCAGGAGAAATCAGAAGCCTGATATTAGACTTAGCATTTGCACTTTGCAGTGATAATTTTGTTAGAAGCCTGTACTTCTATATATGAAATTTTCTTTAACAAACAAAGAGCTTCAAAAATTCCTCTACAATATTGGATGGTAAATTTGCATCTTCATCATAGACAGACATTTAAAGAATTTCCATCTAAAAGAAGCTCTTTTGATGGGGAGATGTACCATGAAGCTGCATTTAATCAATCAGATCAATGAGCATCACCTCCTTTAATTTGTCTTCCTTGTGAGTGTTTTCCAGAAAGATTAACTGGTTTCAGTTGTTCATGCTGATTTCTCTAATGAGTTTTGACTCATTTTTGAACTTGGTTAAAAAAGTTGCAGTTGCAGTTTGAATTTCTACACGTGTTAGAGGAAGCTGATGACTGAATTACACTGAACATTTTGTTTTAAATTTTTTTGAATAAGTACTTACTATGTAATTTTCGATATCTTTTTATTTTATTATAAAAGTAACGAAAATTACATAATAAGTACTTGTTAAGTCAACTTATTATGTAATTTTTTATATCTATTAATGTCTGGTGAGAAGCGAATTGAGGAATATCTTTCTTTGATGTATCTGGGGCAGGCACTACTCTCATAAAGTCATAAGTGAGCTGCTTCTGTCAACTATAAGATGTTAAAAAAAGGAAGCTTCATCTAGTTTTCTTTTGCGATTATAAGATGTTAATATAATTAATCTTTTAAGACTTTGGTTCTTGTGTACGTTAGGTTCTATTTAAATCTTGTCTCTATTATATTATATAATTTGCTGTAAGAATGACTATAACTACGGGAGGTTTATTCTCCATGTTTGATTTAATGAAGGGAACATGAATATGATAGTGGTTGAGTGTAGATAGAGTCATTAGTCAATTTTTCTCATAATGTAGAAAGGTCTCTATTTTATCATATTAATTCTTGTGGTGCTGGATTTGCTTCAGAATTAAAATTATTAAATCTGGAGTACTTTTAGATGCGAGTTGTTCAATTTTAAGTTATAAAACTATGCCATAGATGTAATGTGTTTTGTGTGCCTGACTTGACTTGACTTCTAATTATGTAGTTGGTTTAATAAATGACCATGTCATCATTCGTTTCATTTTATTATTTTGCTTCGTCTTGATTTTGTGTTTAGAGACATTCACTTGCATGAAATTTTAGAGTTGTCAGCACTTATCGTTGATGTCCCAACGAAGGTTCGTGGCTGTTTTAAAGTGAGCTCCAATTTGATTGATTTTTTTGGTGGAGAATTATTAATGTTTAGACAACTGAACATGTGAATTGTTTGTTTGTCCATTGTTTGTGCGTGACAGGAATGGAATCAGTGTTTAGTGGATCATGGTTTGTTAAGCCACTTGCTTCAAAGTAATTTACCATTAATGAAATTTGTTGCTACATTTATATAATTTTATTTCTCACATGACTCATAGATGATTAGCCTTGATTCTTTGCAAATTAGTGTGGGACTAAAGTTGACCAAGTTGCTGCACATAGGGGTGTACAAAGCAAACCGAAAAATCACACCAACCCGATAATTCAAGTCAAACCGAGAAAAAAAAATTCGACTATGGTCTGGTTTGATTTGGTTTGGTGTTGGAAAAAAACCCGATCATAATTGGTTTGGTTTGGTTTTAATTAAAGAAAGTCAAACCGAAACCAAACCAATCCGACATTACATATATAGAAATTTTAGATATATTTAATATATAAATATACTTATTGTGATGTAATTTATAAATATTTCTTTAAAAAATTCTTAATTTTATCTTTTAAGGTATTATTTCAAGGTTGGACTTAAAACTTTTAAATGCATCAATAAGTTTAATAGTCATTAATATTAGTAATTTAAATAATGCTAACAAAAGCACAAGCCAAATCAAATTAATACTAATGCTAACAAAAGATATTCAATTCAATATTACGAACGAGAATGTATTGAATATCTATTTTTTATTTTACAATAATTTAGATAAAAATGCATAACAAATTTTTATTTTTCTTTAACGTTTAGTCATGTAATTAATATTCCCTTATTAGTCTATTTATTTTATCATGACTTAGTACTTTAGATTATGTTTATTTTTATTATGGCTTTTTAATTAGCAATATTTATATTATATAATTTTATNATTTTTAAATTTAATAACCCGACACAATTGGTTTGATTTAGTAATTATAAAATCCGAACCAACCCGACCTATGTAGACCCCTGAGTGCACAATACTGTGGTTGAAATAATCTCACGAGAAAATAGTTTTGTTGTTGGCTTTTTATGATATATTTCAAATGTGTGAAAATGATGTTGGTGGAACCCAAAATGGACCATATTGGCTCACCCAAAGCCAATAAAAGCTTTCACAACAAAGGATTAATATCCAGCAATTAAAGTCAAATATCAACAATAAAAATCTCAAATATCAAAAACACCACGTAAAAGTACCTCCATTGACTTGTCGGGTTAACATTTGCCACTTAAAGTGGGAGAAATTCAAAAATAGCCAGATTTACAACTGGTCGTTCAAAAATAGCTCAATTTCAAAAGTAATCGAAATTTAGTCACTTTTCATGTAAAGATAAATCTAAGCGAAAATACTGTTCAAAACCCGAAAAATATGTCAGTATATTATATTGGAGTTCCAGCATAAGTATGCTTGAACTCCAGCATATTATACTGGAGTTCCAAGATAAGTATGCTGGAACTCCAGCATAATATGATGGAGTTCCAGCATAAGTACACTAGAACTCCAACATAATATATTGTAGTTCCAGCAAGTATAATTGTCCAGTATAATATACTGGAGTTTGGAGCACCGGTGCTCCAGTCTCCAGTATATTATATTGGAGTCAGCAAAGTATACTGGTACAACATAATATGCTGGAGTTCATACACAGATGCACCGATCTCCAGTATATTATGCTGGACCGGTCTCTGTTACAGCAAAATAGTGGCTATTTTTTATTGACTTCGTAAACGCTAGCTATTTTTGAATGACCAGTCCGAAAACTGGCTATATCGTGCTATTTTTACACTTAAAGTTGGGGCATTTGCATCTATACCCGATTTTTGTGTCACGTTTTAACTTGTATCCCCTTTGCAAAAAAATTGCAAGCGTACCGTTTTTTCGCATAACTTTAGCGTACGGGGCTGAAGTAGCAAAAGCAATCACGCAAAACTTTAGCATTCTAGTAGTCGGGCCTGAAGTTCAGCTCTAGAGCTGAAGTTTTTGTTTTGTAACTGGCAAACTTCAGCTCTAGAGCTGAAGTTTTTGTTTTTGTAACTGGCGAACTTCAGCTCTAGAACTGAAGTTTTTGTTCTATATTTGATTAACTTCAACATGTTTTATGCTCTCATGTTTTATGCATGGTAAATTGCAAAAATATTGATTCTCTGTGCTAATTTGCTTTATTTTATTCGACAGTTCGACTCCAGGTGGGCTATTCCATCTGGCAGCATTTGGACCTATCAGTCCGACATCTCAGAGTTCAACGATTCGAGCGTCTGTTATCGTGTATACATTGGCTATATTTTCTGCTTTGCTGATGCTTGATGTGAATGTGTATTTTGTTTAATAGCCTCTTTAGGAAGTGAATTCTTTGCCTTTTTGATTCCCTTGTATTTTGCAGGAAAATTGAACTATTTCAGTAGTCAGTTTAGGTGATTTTTAATATTATAATAATCCAAGTGGAAGTCCTTAGTATATTTGTTTTAGCTTCATTAATCAAAGAGAGCAATATTGAAGTCATCGTTGTAGAAGAAGAAAGAAGAAAACAAAAGAGGAGAAGAAAGGAGGCTAACATTTTTTAAAAAGTGGGTGTAAGTTAAAAATTTTTTAAATAATGAGTATAGGTTAAATGGGGGGCGACCAAATAGGACGCCCCGTGCAATTTTTATCTTAAAGTTGCTATAAAGTGAGATACTTTACCTAATTGCGAACTAATATTTTCCACGATTCAATGTATACAGAAGGAAAAGATGGGCCTCCTTTCCTTTTAATTGGTTGTAATTGTGAATTTTAATTTGTATAGACTAATAGCCTGTTTGGCCCTAAAATCAGCTTATTTTGAGAAGTGCTTTTCTCAAAAGTATTTTTTTAAAAGTGCTTTTGGTGAGAAACAGTTTGTGTTTGACTAATTAATTTGAAAAATACTTTTGAGTAGTAGTTAGTGTTTGGCCAAACTGCTTCTAAGTTTATTTTTTTAAAAGTGCTTTTTGAGAGAAGTTACTTTTTTTCTAAATACTTTCTCAAAAACTGCTTCTGCTTCTCCTCAAAAATACTTGTTTTCCTTCCAAAAGTTTTAGCCAAACAGCTCAATTTTTTGCCAAAAGTGCTTTCGACCAAAAAAAAAATACTTTTGGCCCAAAAAAAAGCTATGCCAAATAGGCTATTAACTGTGGTAATTTGATTGGTTTAAAAAAGTCCTTCACCATCCTTTTTTTTTTTCTAGTTATCAATCTATTTTCCATACTTACCAGAACGTTGCAAGTACAAGAGCCCGTTTGGATTGACTTGTTTTAAGTAATTTTAAGTCAAAATAGCTTTTAAGTCATTGTGTAATTTTTTGCACTGTCATCATATAGATAATTTAACTGCTAATTTTAGAATATAACAGCAGGCATCATAATGTAAATATATTATTTTCTCTATTTTAATTTATGTGAACCTATTTAACTGGGCATAAAATTTAAGAAAAGAGAGAAGATTATTGAATTTGTAGTGTAAAATGAAGCACTTATATTTTGTGTGGCTATAAATCATTACATAAAGGTAAACTGCTTCGAAATAGAAAAAAAGATCATTTTCTTTTGTATATACTAAAAAAGAAATAAGTTTACATAAATTAAAACAGAGCGAATACCATTTTTTTTTAAGTCTGATCCAATAGTAGAGAAATTCAGCGACATCAAACTTCATGACTATGATTGCTTATTTCGGCCGAGCTTGG